GTTCGGACAGTTCTTGCAATAAAACGTGTGGCCGCATTCGGAAATGAATGCCTTTGCTTGTAATACTTTCCATATTTGGAACTCTTCATCTAGCCGTCAATATACACTAAATAACTATAATTATATTTATTGGCACAACGTAAATGGCATGAACAGGTAAATAAACCTTAAATTAAGGTACTTCTGGAATGAAGATTAAGGGACTAGAAAATACCAAAAGAACCACAAACTTCAGAAACATTTAAAAACAGTGCGCTGTAAATAACCAAAAAACAGTTTACTTCTCGAAAATGAAATTAAAACCAAACTATAAAAGACACCTTTACCAATATAAAAATAAGATCTTTTGGTATAGTGCACATGTTAAAAAACAACGAAATGACGGCATCTATTTTTAGTGTTTAAAGGAAACAAACGAAAAATATTTTACATCTTCACAGTGTATATAACATAAACATAAACATAAACACTCACGCCTGTCACTCAGAGGGGTAGGCAGAGATTATGGGCTTCCATTTGGCATTTTTGCTGGAGATTTTACGGTACGCGAATAACCCCCCTGGGGGGGGGGGTCCTGACCTACATAAAAATGCTAATTGCAATATTAAGTACTCATTAACCACGTTCTCTTCGTGAGGGACATAAAATATATCGACCTCAGAATATTTTATTTCTTAGACATGCGAAGTCTGTGCCCAGCAGTGGGCCTATAAAGGTAACTTTAATTTTAATTTCATTCTAGTGTAGGTTAATTAGTTGCTGATTTTCAAAAAATAATGAAGCCAACCTTTTATTTATTGCTGTACTTTTAAATTACAATTTACGTACATATATTTAAAAATTACAAATTATAACCATAGACCAGATTATGCAAAGGAAAAATTATCGAAAGTTCTCCTATATAAAAAGTGAGAAATTCTAAACGAACTTAATCTATTGAACTTTTCTTAATATTGAATAGAACTTGTAGAAGCCTGCTAGGCTAGGAAAAACAAAATTCGTATGAAATTTACTGGAAAAATAAACACATTTTAATAGAATTTAAAATATAATGCATTTTAAATACTATAAGATATTACTCTCCGATATGAATAAAAATTTCACATCCAAACACATCACTACATCCATCGAAATCATTTGGAATTCAAACACATTTCAATGTCGATGTTCGGTACAACAGCAATACATACAGCTCTATGTTAAATAAAATTTCGCTTTCACCAAGTTTTATGAACTCGCTGTATTTTCTAGGGGCGGGAAGCATTTACGACGACGTGCGCGAACATAAATTTTATAGTATTTTGGACCGACTTTTTAACGGGTTTTGGTACTTGGTGGTAACCATTTTTATGACTACTCGATAAACACGCTCCTAATGTTCCACATAGCACTTTTATTTTGATATAGCTAATATGCTTAGCTATGATTGACATTTAAGTATCATCGTTATCATTTAAGTATTTTATTACACACTATTATACTATATTATGTAATTTGTATTGCCACTTTTGTAAATGCGACCGATATTTAGTTATATTATTATTTTTTATATTTTGAAGTTTTTTTTTTCTTTGGTAGTGGTTGTACTTTTGCCAGTGTAAATTAATAGTAAATTATTGTTTTACAAAAATTTGTTCAAAAAACTTCCCCACTATAAGTTGATGCATCATAATATATTCCAGTTTTATTGGGTGTTTTCAACGACAACTCCTCTTGCTCCCTTCTTCACGGCAGTATCTTAAGTTCCTAAGCGGACAAAATCAGTTTTTTTTTATAGGATAACGGTGACAAACGAGCACACAGTCCACCTGATGATAAGTGGTTGCTGTGACCCATAGACATCTACATATATCCTCAATTACGAATCAAAATGTAATTGCATTGTCACCCGTGAGGACTAAAGTGTAATGCCTCGTTTCCAGTAAAAAGGGTCTCCGGTTCTTTACACTCACCACACAAAACAGCAGCGTTAAGCTGCTATTTTACGCTGGTATTCTGTGAGAGCGTGATACCTCCCCGGTCGAGCCGACTCATTCATGCTACAACTATACCAGTAGCTGCAGCATGGCTCTACCACGTAAATTCTCTGGTTCTATTCTCTATTTCTATTATACTTCAGTCTAGTTCTATTATAGTCTATTCGTTTTCGTTTACGTCAGCCATTAAATACTTAGACCAGCGACGGGCTGCAGCTTCAAAGGTGTGAAATGTATGGTACAAACCCTCCCTGCAACAGGAAAAGCCTATATCAAGCAATAGACTCGAACTGATGATGAAGAAGAATCGGGTTATTGGTTCTAGTCTTGCTGATTATGTTTCTCGTGAGTCCTGTGAGTCCCCGTGGCTCTGGCGGGGCCCCACCGTTGATGTGGTGGTAGTAGAGCCGTGGGAGGTACACAGGTGGAGATTACGATTGTGTAGGCAGGCGCGTCGCAACACAGGTGCGCCTTATTTGAGGAAAAGATTTAGGAAACTCATTTTTGTCAGTCATTGGGGTAAATCGATTAAATTCATAATTTAAAATTAATAATTTTGTACATCCGACTTCAATATAAATTATTAAGAATAACTCAAAAACTTTTGGTCAAACCTTGATAAAATTTATATGTGACCACACTAGAAGTTCAGATTTCAAATGAAAAAAGAACCATCGAAATCGGTTCACCCAGAAAAAATTTATGAGGTAACACACATTAGAAAAAAACTTTTTGAAGCCGGTAGAAAATTATACAGACCAAATATTACATTGGTCTCATCGGCTTTAATTAAAATTCCATGTTTATTTTTATTAATTTCAACAAATAGAGTGAGATAAATATCTAGATCAATATTTAACGAAAACAAACAATATATTCTAAAATATAAATTGAATACGTTATTATTACATATTATTAACGTTTAATGATAATTAATGTAGCTAACGCGGCAGCATTACGTGTATTATGTAAGCATACAGTAGCTTTGTTCTTCTTTTTAATTTATTTTAATGCATGCGCAATGTTCATACATCACGCAAGTCATTGGCCTGCTTTAATTTGTGTATACCTTGAGCCGAACAGCACTACATAATTGCATCTTATGAAGACCCAAAGAAGTTCTTACAAATTTATGTTTATGAGAATTGGTGTTAATATAATCCTTTAAATCTTTAACGGGAAGATTGCATTCTAGATAACAAATGGACGTAAACCTTACTAAGGCACCATCAACTGAGAATCAAACATAATTTCCTAACATTTCCTAAAGATGAGTAAATTATAAGAAATGTATGAAAAAACGTATGGCTTCTTCTGCGAGAATACGTACTCGTTTACGCCAGTCGTAAAATACGCAAACCAGCCACAGGCAGCCGTGTCAAATGTGCGAGATGTCTTTAAGCGTGACGATTTAAGCAAACCCCACCTGCAACGGGGGAAGCCCTTAACCAGCAGTAGACTTAAAAACGTATGGTTTCTTCTTTTAACTTTTATTTTAGTAACCTTTCTTTACTACTTACTTTAAAGGCCCGATAAACAATAAACAACTAACGTTCTTTAAACTTACGAGTAACTTCTCTCCTTTATAGTAGGTAGTATATAAAACAATGTCTCCGGATTATCTAACCGATGTTACTTATTTTTTGTAATTTTTTTAAAATAAATTTAGGAAAATACGCTATAAAATTACTAAATCCCTTTCATAACATCAAATGGACCATACAAATAATGTAATGTAAGAAAAGTAAAACAAATTTACAAAAATAACTTTGTTATTTTTAATAAATCCAAATTTTCTAGCTGTAAATTCTCTGTTATTTCATAATTATATATAGTAAACAGTTGTAGGAACTTTATACTTTGATTTTTTAATTTACATATTATTCATAGTTCTCCAACAACAACCTTGATTAAAGGCCAACTGAGATATCTCCCAACCGGGCTAAAAATTGTGCTAAATACAAATTATTGATTTGCAAGTCTGACTTGGTTGTAGTTGTTTCTCTATCTTTGATAATGAATCTAAGTTTTGTTCTAACATTATCGCGTAAACGTTACATCAAGCACTCTTAGATAACAAAGAGTGAACGGCTCTGTGTTAGTGCTTCCACTTCCGTGGAAATAGTTTACGAATTCCACAGTATTTGGATGTATCACCATTCTCGAAATTAACATAAAAACGACGTAATGACGATTGATAATAAGTACATATATAAAAATAAATGTTAATCTATGTAAAAAAATATAATAATGAAAGAGTTAAACATAATATAACAATTAAGGCAAAAGGAAAGGGCTCACCTTGAGCTCCAACGGTACCGTAAGCCTGCACAAACTAACCTAGGACTAAGCATTTTATTTGACAAAAAGTGAACCGTACATAGATTGATGGCAACATTGAACTTTAGTGTCGCATAATACTGTGTAACTAAAATGAAATGTTAAAGTTATTTTTGCTTGCCAGTATAGATTCTTCTACTTTATCATCAGCTCATAAAAATCCACTCATAGGTATGGGCCATTCTCGTTTTGATTTTTACAATTCGCAGGCAGTTTAGCGGTCGCATTGCCAGACTTATACTACTTTCGAAATAGGATACTTATTAATAATCCCATTAAAAAATATATTAATAAAGGCAAATTGCTTTCAGTGTTTGACGATTGTGGGAAATCACTTTAATACGAAAAATATGTATAACCTATATTATTAAACATATATTATTTTATCAGATTATACTAAGTATATTGTTTTCATCTACAGTAGGGGAGAGTGGGGTAAGACGGGGTCCTTAAGGTTTGATGTTAAATAAAATTGACCGTAAAGAGTTTTATTAATTTGTTTTATTCTTATAATCTTCTTAGATAATCAGTCTTCATTGTTAACGAGTATTTGGCAGTCTTATCAACATAATAAAATTAAAAAAAATCAAAAAGTAGAAATACACCATTCACCCCATCATGCCCCACCCCTAGGGTAAGATGGGGTACCCCGTGGGTAAGATGGGGTACGCAGCAAACGACTATTTAGGACTGTTCACAATGTTCACAAGTGAACACGGTATCTGCATCTTCGTCGTCCACACCTGCACAGCTGCAGTGAGCCCATTTGCCGCATGCTGAACAAGCAGCCCAGCCTTCATTTGAGTCCAAATATAGGCCTTTACAATACAAACAAGGTGTATTTTCAATATCGCTGTCACTATTCTCGTTTAATGATCTATTCTTAGCCCCTTGTTTCTTCTTTGTTACTCTTTTCTTCTTAGTTGCCGGGTCTTTTTCAGATTTTTTAAGTTCCCTCAACCCTTTTTTTCTCTGTTTATCCTCTTCCGCTTGTTCCTTTTTCTTAATCGTTTCTTCTAACTCATTCTTATACGGCGAAGATGTGATCAACGCGGTTTTTCCTCGTTTTCTAGTTGAGCGAGATGTTTTTGTAGTTGCTGGAAAGGGCATTATTTGCTGCGGACTTACGACACCAAATATTGATTGCTGCGGAGTTCGTGGTCTTTCCAGATTAACCAGATTAGTTGATAGTGACGTACTCGCAGAAATACTAGCGGCAGTATCAAGTCTCGACAATGTTTCTGTTTCCACTGTTACTGGCGTCACTGCTGCATCCGTCAAAGTTGCCGCAACAGAAATGGCTTCAGATATAATTGGCGCATTCTGATTATTTGTTGCTGGTTCTGTGGATGACGATTCCATTATCAACGAACTATTATCGCTTGCAGGTGCGTCGGATACATTAAGCTGAATATCTGTCATCAAAGATGGAGCAAAGTCGGTCTCAGAGAATACTGTTGGATCATATGGCCAAATCCCACATTTCTTAAAACCATTGACAGCTGTTGACATCGTAGACGCTTGTATGAACGCCTTTCCAAAAATTTCAGCTACTTGTCGGACAGTGACAGTCATCCCTGGGTTGCTGCGAAGCCACGCCATGATTTGATGATCGTAGTAGGTACTTAACGGTCTCATGTAAGCAACGTCTGCAACCTGAAGACGGTGAGTTGTATGTGGTGGGAAACATAAAATGATAACGCCGTGAGTGCGTGCTTCATTTATGAGATCAATGTTCTTCGTATGAGTACTATGTCCATCCAATAATAACAAAACAGAATGCTCAGGTGTTGCTCCGCTAAATTTGACGAACTTTTTAAACCAATGTAGGAAAAGTTCTGAAGTCATCCAGCCCGAATCACTGCAAACTCCCCAAGCTCCGGGGGCAGCATTAATCATAAGTTGCGGATCCATTCTTTTTCTAGGATATACCATCATGGGTGGCATAAAATTACCACTAGCACTAAAACAGATTTCTACTGTAATGGTCGTACCTCGTTCAGCAGATGTTATGGCTCCCACTTGCTTTCTGCCCTTTCTTGCGATAATTTTTGATTTGGTTTTGGGCACAACTGAAATACCAGTTTCATCGCAGTTGTATATACGATCAGGTGTTAGATGATGTTCATCGTAAACATTGCCCAAAAAATTGAAAAACTGGTCTACCACCTGTTTATTGAAACCAGCAGCACGTGCGGATGAGGTACTTTCAGGCTGTCTAATAGACAGTTCTGGGTGCCTTTTTAAAAATCCTAATGCCCAGTCTTTCCCGGCTTCTTCTTTTTCATTGTTAAACGGATGACGTTTGTTATTTTTTACCGCTAGTCTATAGACTAAACCTCTTAAGTCTTTCATTGTCAATCCATAAAGCCTACTCTCCATATCTATTAAGTATTTACATAGCTCTTCCTCTTCATTATCAGTAAAAACTTTCTCTTTTGGGCCTAACGGTACCTTAAATTTAACAGTCATTGGATCATTCTTATCTAAACTTTCTCGCACAAGCTTCACTTTTCTTTCTAAAGTTGTTTGTGGGACAGAAAATGATTTTGCTGCAAGCTTGTAGCCAATTTTTCCTTCAACCACATTTTTCACAGCATCTTTCATACTTTCTTCTGACCAATCCCCTCTACTTGTTTTTTTTTTTTTATAATTTCTCACCATTCTAGAACAAAATACACAGTAAATTAGACATTTATACGCCGCTTGCAAAGGCTAAGGGGCAAGATGGGGTTCCCGACCGACCGCATGCCGAATCAAATTTAAAAAAATACTTAATAAAACCAATACGCAGCACAGAGAAAAACAAGTTCTTACCTGTTAGTGTAGTTATTGTCACATTTGATATCATTTAAATCAATTCCGAGGTGTTATTATTTACGGAAATTACACGCCCTATATAGTATAGAAAAATCACTATTTGTCAAAAAAGTTTTTTCCAGAAAACAAATAAAACGCGTGGAGTCTTCTCAAGTCCGCTCACTTCGATGACTGATTGCCGTAATGGCGGCGCGACGTCAGCTGCTAAAACGATCCTGATTGGCTATTTCGTTCGCGCTCAAGATCGGTCACTCCGTCTTGCCCCGCACCCCGTCTTGCCCCACTCTCCCCTACTCTGTTATTATTATTTTAAATAAACTTTAGAATCGTAATTAGTTTATTGGAATTTGAAAAGAAACAATAATTCTTTTCCATACAATTATTAAACTACTTTATTAATTACTACATCATCATATATCAATATATAACTGTCACCGCCGCAGAATTAGAGTAGGTGTTCACGCGACAATTAAGCTCTCTTTCATGCTCACTTACCGTGTCATCGTAAGATAATTCAAATATTCACTTGTAGAAAACGTTAAAAGAAATATTAAGATAAAATTTAAACGTTCACCCAACAGCTCATTAGACATGCACACTAAAGCGGTTGTCGTGAATTAGAAATAAAAAAAAAAACTGGTACAAAAAGTAAATAGATATAACTGTGCAACAACCATATTAGAAGCAAGGCCGCTACGTTCTCACGGTCTTAGCTTATAATAACTTAGGATCTATATTGTTATATAGTAGATCATGGGAAATTGAAGTTCTTATGGTTATTAATAGTAAATTTTCTGTTCCGTAAGTCATGTTATTGTGGATTTTGTGTAAATAATATGGCTGGGGTAAAGGTATTAATTAATCCTATAATATCCAGTATAAATAGAGTAAGAAAAATTGATCGTGATAAAGCCATGCCATATTTTAGTTAAAACACGAATAAGACACAGAATCCCAACGTAAAATAGCAGCTTAATGCTGTTATGTTTCGTACGGTGAGTGTAGAGAACCGGAGAAATATTTTACTGGAAACGAAGCTTTCCATCTTAGTCCTCAACAGTGACAACGCATCTGCATTTTAATTCTTATTCGAGGATAGATGTAGATGTCTATGTACCACAGCATCCACTTACCATCAGGTGGACTGTGTGCTCATTTGTCACCCTTATTCTATAAAAAACTACAAAGGCTCTAAGTTATAAAAAGCCTTTGTTGTATCCAAAAATATTATCATATACTGTAATAATACTTTTGTCGTTTTTGTCATCACATTTTTATTATAACAAAGCAATAAAAACTTGACTTAAAAACAATCAAGATCACTATGAAGGTAAGCGTAGATTCTGTGACCATTTTAGAGGACATACCATTTACAATAGAGCTACTTATAGTTTTTGTAACAAAAACTTCATGAAATGACGCGAGACGGTTTTTAGGACTATATTGTTATTACATAATTATACTTTTTCGCTGTGTCAGTGTAGAATAGTAATAAATAATGTACCAGACTACTCAGAAAATTATGCAAAAAATATTTATGTATGACTCACTGGCTGTCTATAACTAAAGACAATTTTTTGGAAGAAAAATAACATTCCAAACAGTTATTTTCCACCATATTTTTAGGAGGCCTTTTCTGTAGCGACGCGACGGTCGTTCAGACTATTTTTTATAGAATGAGGATAACAATCAATCACACACAGTAAATGCTTGCTTTGGCCCATAAATTTTTTTTAATAGGAGAGGGGGCAAACGAGCATGCGGCTCACCTAATGGTAAGTAACTACCGCCATCGAAATGCAGATGCATTGCAGGCCTTTTAAAAAAGAGTAGGCTCTTTTTTTTAAAACATCTATATCTATCCTCGATTAAGAGTCAAAATGCAGATGGATTGTCACCCTTGAGGACTAAAATGGAATGCTTCATTTCCAGTAAAAGGGTCTCCGGTCATCTACAGTGAGTATAGTACGAAACACAGCAGAATTGAGCTGCCATTTTACGCTGGTATTTTGTGAGAGTGTGATCCTTCCTCGGTTGAACCGACTCATTCGTGGTACAATCATTACTAGCTGCAGCGTGGCTCTATCACCTAAAGAAATCATACGACTTCGGTCTAATGCTACAGACTCGATTGTAAATTAGTTGATCGTTGAGCAATCCGAACGGCCAAGGTCACATCGAAGGTTGTGGGACACGACCATATCTGTCGTTGCGCGTTTGATGATGTTAGCAGCATTCGAAGGACCAAGCAAGTCTGTCAAATAAAGTCATGAAGAGGAAGTGCCAGTGTCCCAAAATAAATATGGAAGAAAAAATTAAAAGAAAATTTTAATCGAGTTTATATGAAAATATCATACAGCGTGTTTAGGCTAAATATGATCATTTGAGACGGCATCCAATCACGTTCGACTTAGCGAATCGCCCGATGGTACCAGGTGTCACGCACGTCGCGGGGGGGGGGGCAGCGGAAGGCAGCTTCCCAGCGTTTGGCGCTGGCGGGCGAGAGAGAGTAGCTCGAGGGCAGCGGTGCAGTTAATTAGTGTATCTCGGTGACCGCTGCAGATGTTTCGCGCGACCGGATATTGGGTTTTGGTCTAGATTTTTAGCGCTTTCCTTCGCTACGTAATTGTGGTTTCGTGAAAACCGCCTCGGTTTAGTTTGTCTAGGTTTTAAGTTCGTGACAAGAGGCTTGTATTTGACTGATTAATTTCGTTTGAAAGTAATTGCGCCAATTATATAGTGATTGCGTGTTGAAGTGCACTTCACAATATTTAACTTGCTCGTCTGACGTGGAATTTTGCGCGCGCACCGAGTAGAGATACGGTCTGGAATTTGAACCGCGCGTTCCTTTTCGAAGGCGTCTCCCGGTTGATTGTTTTGGAAATCATTGTTTAATTATACCGTCGCGTTAAGAGTCTTTTGTGTGTTAACTCTGTAGCTAGTTTACGTGTCAGCTAGGTTGACTTTGAGTTCTTATTGCGGCGTAGTATTTAATATCGAACGAAGGAGCTTAGTTGTGTTTGTAACGCTGAATCGTGTGACTCATGAAGAGATCGCGTTAGTTCCCTATTTGTAATTTGGTGATAAATGAATCCGGAACATTGAATGTTGAACTTTGAACTACTGTTCTTTACTTGTGTCGGGTATCACGTGTTCGATTCTACGATGAACGTTGAATTAGTCGAGTTGAAGTTAGTTAAATGTACAATAAAGTTGATAGTCTGAAATAATGAAATGAAGAAAGAAATTGTCCATTTGGGACGCCTGCTGGAGTGATGCAGCATTGTGGGGCAGCATGGAAACCGACCGCTGCCAGGTCACCTCAGCTGGGCCAGGTCACCCACATATACACACCACTAAACACCACTTTACATGCATCTACTCTACCTCCGGCCTGACCGAGCCTTGGGGCGGTCTTAGATTCGGATCCAGGTACTTACTATTTATTTTCCTAGCCTTCTCCCTATTGTGTAGTATGATAGGTCATTTTTCCATAAGGCCACTTGGGCCCGAACCCTCGGCTGCCCGTCGAGGAGGCGACTATGGGCCCTAGCCAAGGCGACCTTTGCAGGGGCAGCTGTTGGCCGTAACACAGCGATATAAACTTATATTCATACAGCGACATAAACTAATAATAAAATTGTCAAATAGTTTATCCCCAGGGCAAACAAAAAATATGTGACTACGAAAATTGGAAATTTAAAAACTGCGGTTAGAAGAAAGATAAAAAATACTCTACGAGTCGGCTCCGACGCGTGACTAGAGTTTACTCCTGAAAAACGATTGCCTTAAAATATGTATAGGAAGTAAATAAGCCCACATATTTATTTGTACTAACTTATATTAATTACATAAAATTATATGACTTATATGACATTATTCATTATTTTATTATATGAGATGCGCGAGTATATAGCGCGGAGGCAAACTCTACCCATCTATTTTTCATGCTACTTACTGAAAAAAACTTGCAGTGGGAATATTTTCTTTTGTTTATAGTTTATTATTAGGATAGTGCTTGACCATAATCCCACCTAGTGGTAAGTGGTGATGCAGCCTTAGATGGTAAATCGCACTGTCTTAGCGTAACAAAAGCCTATTTATTCTTGCATTGAAGGCGCCCAGATTGCATTCGGACGGAAAGTTTTATGATTTTTAATCAATGATTTATATTACACTCTTTGAATATAAATATCGCTTTATAGCTAATAAATCCCTTCTAATACTTAAAATGGCATTTAAGGACAAAATTCCTTTCCGGGCAGCAGTTTACCGGCACGGTCTATTAAGTTTCACGGATGATCAAAGAAGCGAGCGAGCTATTTGACTACTGTTACTTTTCCACATGTACACCTTCACGTCTGAAAGATAGTTCCACACTGAGTAAGAATGTTGACATGTTCACATCTTTATTAGCGACGAATATTGATAATATCAGTACGGTCGAGAAATAACGCAACAATCGATAATTTCACTGTTTTAAATCGACTCTTACAAAAGTGAAAAGCAAACCATAAACGCGGGAAATTAATTGCAAATTATTCAATTTTGCTTAGTCTTCTATTTCTTTACCATCAATCCATAAAAGTGCTCAGCTATACATGAGCCTCCCCCGTTTTATGGTGCTTGATGATAAGCAACACATTGACTTTCAAAGGTTTTTGCTGCTATGAGCAAATCGAGATCAAACAGATTGCGATTAACTACTGTTTTATCATGCAACATTCAGTCTTAAACAAAAAGCTTCCTTTGTATATACACCTAAATAAAATTGCCCTATATAAAATCCACGTATAGAGATACAATATCAGGTATAGAAGAAAATGTCTGTAAGAAAAGCTACG